AAAACAAACATGTTTTGTTAATAATGTTTTTCTCTACGACGCTTCGTTTTAATACTACAGGGTACAAAATAGGATTTTATAATTTTAATAAAAAACAAACATATACTATAAGTGGAAAAGTTAAATTTATTTCAATTATACATATATATTTTAATCTTCAAAAAACAATGAACAAAAGAACGGAACAAAAATGCGCAATTAATTAGCGCAATTTATAATAAATGTTCAAAAATTCCTCCATTTGTTTCAACACAAAGATGACATTGTGGAAACATTGATTGTCTCACACGCTCGAAGACTGTAGGAATATTCTGAACCTGATATACTGCACCAGTAATTCAGGCTACCAATTCTGCTTCTGTTTCAATAGGTATCTCATAAATGAGAGTTTTTATATGCCCCCATAAAACAAAATAAAGCGAAGATAAATCTGGTGAGCGGGGAGGCCATGTGATAGGATCTCTTCGGCCTATCCAGCGCTCATTAAATCTTTGGTCCAAGTAATTGCGCACAGTAGCACTAAAATGGGCAGGTGCTCCATCGAATTTTTGAACATTTATTATAAATTGAGCTAATCAATTGCACATTTTTGTTCCGTTCTTTTGTTCATCGTTTTTTGAAGATTATAATATATATATGTAATTGAAATAAATTTAATTTTTCCATTTGTATGTTTGTTTTTTATTAAAATCATATTCCTATTTTGTACTCTATAGTATTAAGACGGAGCGTTGTAGAGAAAACCATTATTAATAAAATATGTTAATTTTTATGTCCTCTATTTCCCCTCAAAGTTTGTCGATCTAATTTTTTTACACCCTGTATATATGTGTATATATATTAGGAATATATAAAGGAAACAGTCCTTACTACGTCCCCGCCGTTGTTTCTGGGTAACGCTAAAAGTAAAAGTATGAAAACTTCCGCTCTTTCAATTGCCGACGACAAATGAGGAGGTTTTTAGAAAAAAAAATTTGACCTTGAAATAACCTTGAAGGACACCAACAAGGTCGAGTTTGAGGTCACCACTAATTGCAATTAAACAAAATAATTAAAGTAAGCTATTTTCATCAACTGCGTTCTTCGAAGATATCCAGTCCTCAAAATTAAATAACCTTTGAATGACCTCCAAGGTCAACCACGATTTATGGCCTTATAATGTTTTTGGACGTAA